GGAGGAGGAGGAAGAGGAGGAAGAGGAGGAAGAGGAGGAAGAGGAGGAAGAGGAGGAAGAGGAGGAAGAGGCCAGATGCTTTCTTGGGACAGCCTGGGGCTCTCTTGAAGCCGTCTTGGGCCGTCCAGGGCTTCTCTTGCGCCGTCTCGAGGCCCTCTTGGAGGCCTCAGGGGCAATTTGGGGCTCTCCTGGGCTATCTTGGGGCAGTTGGGGGGCCCCTTGGGAGCTTCTTGGGGCCTCTTAGGACTTCTTCGGGGCCTCTTGAGGGCCTCTTGGGGCTAAGAGCTCGAAATGTCCGTTCGGGCCCCCCGTCTGGGCACTCTCCTGGAGCCATCTTGGGGACCTCTTGGGCCGTCTTGGAGGCGTCTTGGGCCGTCTTGGGGCCCTCTTCGGCCGTTAGGGGACCCTCTTGGGGGCTTCTTGGGCCGTCTCGGGTCGATCTTGGGGGCCTCTTGGGCCGTCTTGGCGCGTCGGGAAGAGGCAAGAACGCCCAAATATGTCAAACACTCTAGTGGGAAAGCTCCCGGAGGCCTCTTGGGGCGCTTTGCAGGCCTCTTGGGCCGTCTGGAGGCCGTCAAGACGTCTTGGACAGATCGTTCGGCGATTCGGGGTTCTCGTGGACTGTCTTTGGGGCCTCTTGGGGCACTCTTGGCCCGTCTTGGGGCGTTTTGGGGCTCCGGGACTCCCAGGGGGGGCGTCGTATCTGACCCCCCCCCCGGGGACCCTCCCTCCGACCCCCCCCCCCGGCGAGGGAGGGATCGAAGGGAAGGGGCTTCCCTTCGACTCAATTACGACGTTGCTCAACTTCACTTTGGCTGGGGCGCTGAGGAGGTCCCTGGGAAAGGGGGGAGCTTCGACGAGTCAGGGAAAGGGGGGAGGCAGGGAAAGGGGACTACAGACGACGACCAACGAATGACGGAGGTGACGACTCGAACGGACAAGCCCCTCACACACGCCGACAGGGTCGGCGGATTTGACTATGTTCCCGTATATTTGACCATCTCTGAGTCTGTTTCATTTTTCTTCCCAAACCCGTCTGTAGGAGGACATGCCCGACCTAAGACTACGGTCGTCAATGCCTTTTGCAAGCCCGACCCCCTCCGTTCTCCTTCTCCGCCTTTCTATCTTCTCCTGGCCCCTTCTGAACTCGGCTCCGCTGCCTGCTCCCCGCGCTTCGCCGCCACTCCTCGATCCCTGGCGCTCTCCTCCTCCTTTCCTCCGCCAGCCAGGCCTCGGGCATCCTTGCCTTCGCTCTCCCGGCTGAACACCTGCAGTCATGGAGCCAACTGGTCCAGCAGCCGTTCCTCTGCCCGTTTTTGGGCAGCGACGGCGGATCCTCCAGCTCCACCTCGCAGACTGGTCTGGAAGGCGGATTCCATCCTTTGGCGTGCCTTCTTCTGCCTCTGCCTTCTCCCGTCCTTCCCTCAACTCGCCAGCTGGCGTTTTAGCTCGCACGCCCTTCCACCAAACCGGAATCCTAGCTTTGCGGCCAATCCCGTCTTTCATGTCCAGATCTTCCCTCACTTCCTTTTCCTCCCACCTTTCCATTACTTCATGTACGGCTTCCGTTCTAGTCTCGACTGCATCCCAAACTACACCCGAATCAGCGCTTCCATCATGCACAACTTCCCTGAATTCTCTTCGCTTTCCCCGTCTCCTCCTTCTCCTCTGCGTCTTCGCCCTCACCTTCCCTCCTCCGCTCGTAATCGTCTGCCTTCCCACGCTCACAGTCGACGCACGAATGCCAGCTTCTTGATGGGACGTGAGCCTCCTGTAGGAAAACCGTCATCCTCCACATAATCGAGCTGAGAGCTCATACTTCTTCAATGAACTTGGCTTGCACCGCGTGTCTACCAACACACTGGAATAGTCATCTTCTGCATGCCCAGCGCGTCCAACAACACGCTGAATTGGATTTGCCAGACCTGTCCACCGGCATGCACAGTTCTACATAACCCACAAGAGCATCGCGAGGCCGAAGATCCTCCAGCAACTGCCAGACCCTGCAATTCGCACCCCAATGGGGCCCGCCACTACCGAGAGGTTTCCCTTCAGGAGGTTCAGGTTCAGATCGTGGCCGTTGACCCCCCGCTCTTGGAGGCACATGGAAGGGTGGTTTTTGAGCAGCTCCTCGAGAAAGCTTGCGGGCAACCGACCTGTAGGGCTGGTCAGCGGTGAGGGCATGACCCCACCTGGGGGCGCCAGGAAGCGCGCCTGCCCACCGTGAGGGTCTTCCACGACGATGGGCAACGCTCCCGGCGTGCAGTCCGCGATGGCTGTCACTATTCAGGAGGGGAAAAAACACACAGACACAATTAATCGTCGATTCCCCAGAAAATATGGGAAAATATGGGAAGTGGGGGCGAAGACAAAAACCCAGAAAATATGGGAAAATATGGGGGATATTTTTATTTGTCTGTATTTATTTGTGTGTCCTGGGGCCCCTTGAACTATCCCGACGTCCGGCGGAAGAGTGTCCACTCGGCTCCTTCGGGCCGCCCCGCGCACGCCCTGAGAGCGAAGTGCTGCTGGTGGTGGGGGTGCCCCTTGCTCGGACCTCCAGCTGAGCGGTCCGACGAGGCTCGGGACTGCAGGAGAAGAAAGAGGTATAAGCATAAACATTTGGCGCTCCACGCGGTTTTTGTTGGACGCCGCCAGGGGGCGGCCCAGCGCGGCTCCAAGAAATCCGCGCGGAGCGCCAACAGTTTATGTTTATGCCATCTATTGTTCTTCTTGACTGGCTCGCTAAGGCCTCAGGACCCTCCTCCTCCTCCTCCTCCTCCTCCTCCTCCTCCTCCTCCTCCTCGTCTTCCTCCTCCTCGTCTTTCTTCCTCCTCCTCCTCCTCCTCCTCCTCCTCCTCCTCCTCCTCCCCCCTCCTGCTCCTCCTCCTCCCCCTCCTCCTCCTCCATCCTCCTCCTCCTCCTCCTCCTCCTCCTCCTCCTCCTCCTCCTCCTCCTCCTCCTCCTCCTCCTCCTCCTCCTCCATCCCCCCTCCTCCTCCTCCTCCTCCTCCTCCTCCTCCTCCTCCTCCTCCTCCTGGGCCTCGGGGCTGGCTCGCCCGGGCCGTCCACGAGCCCGGCGGCGCCTGCGGTGGTGGGCCTCTCCGGCGCGCGCCCCGCGGCGTCGGGGTCCGCGGCGGGCGCGCCGCCGGAGGCCGCGCGGGGGGGCCTCGCCCGCCCGCGGAGCTCCCGGGGTGGTCGGCCTGGGCGGCCTTCAGTCAGAGGGGGAGAATGGATTCCAGATTTCGTAAGGTTTGAGGATTTGGTTTTGGAGGATTTGGTTTTTGGATTGTTTGAGGATTGTTTGAGGATTTGGTTTTTTTCGTCGAGAATCCCCCTGTAGGGGGACACGCCCGACTTAATCCGAGTCGGGCCTGTCCCTCGACCGGGGGGACTGTTCAAGAATAGTCAAAAGATATTCCAGATTTCGTAATACAGGGAGGGGGGTCTCATTTCGGGGGGGGTCTCTTCCAGGCTATCTTGGAGGGCCTGGGGGGGTCTGGGGGCGATGTTTTGGAGGGTTCTCCCACGGGGGGGGGGGGTCTGAAGTGGCTTGTCTTGGAGGGTCCAGACCCCCTCCCTTTTATTACGAACTCTGGAGTACCCATACCTCTACCCTTCCCTCGTTCCCCCCTTTTTGGGCCCCCTGGGAGGCCCTCGTCGCCACCGCTGCATTGGCCTCGACATGCTGGTCAGAACGCACCCCGGGAGAGGTCCCGGGAGCAGCGATATCGGTGCCTCTTGGTTTCCCCTTCAGGAGGGGAAAAGCACACAGGCACAACGGATCGTGGGTCCCCAGGAAAATGAGAGAAGATGTGGGAAGTGGGGAGGGAGAGGCGACAGCTCAGAACACACGGGGAAACATGGGGAATCCTGGGATTTGTGTCCATTTATTTGTGTGTCCCTGGGCCCGTTTGGGCCTTGGCAGCGCTCTTCCTCGGGGCCTGAGTGGCCCCGAGGGGGTGGGCAGTGACGGCCTCCTCCGTTGGTTTGATCTTTTCGGACAGCGTTCGAGCTGCCCCCACCGAAAAGAACGGGTCCATCCGTCGTGGAAGGGGGGGATGCCTCCTCCTCCTCCTCCTCCTCGTCCTGCTCCTCCCCCTCCTCCTGCTCCTCCTCCTCCCATCCTCCTCCTCCTCCTCCTCCTCCTCCTCCAGCCCTCCTCCTCCAGCCCTCCTCCTCCTCCTCCCTCCTCCTTCCTCCTCCTCCTCCTCCTCCTCCTCCTCCTCCTCCTCCTCCTCCTCCTCCTCCTCCTCCTCCTCCTCCGTGAGTGGGCAGGACTTGTCCGCCTTGCCGGTGGGGCGGACACTCGGGCATTTGCAGCATCCTGCGCCCCCCGCCCGGCCGCGATAGCATCGTGTCAACCGTGGGTGCACGATGGTACCACCGGTGCGATTCGCCCGCTTCGCTGGTGGGCGCGCCTCGCGTGCTGCCACACGGTGGGTGTCTGTGCCACGGGCCGCCTGCGTCGGGATTCAGGAGGGGAAAATTCTCACAGACACAGTGAGCCGTCGATTCCCATGAGAACTGGGGAAGATATATGGGAAGGGGGGGGAGTGGGGGGAAGACGACAACCCAGAACATCTGGAAAAGTATGGGGGATCCTGGGATTTGTGCCTATTTATGGAGGAGGAGGAGGAGGAGGTAGGAGGAGGAGGAGGAGGAGGAGGAGGAGTGTGTGTGTGCCCCAGGGCCCCTTTGGGGGTAGCCCCCTCGAGGGGCAGCGGAGTCCTCGTACCGCTCGGGCTGGCCTCCCCTCGCCCCCTGCTCTGGACCCTCCGTTCCCTCGTTGGTGGCTGGGTCACTCCTCCTCCTCCTCCTCCTCCTCCTCCTCCTCCTCCTCCTCCTCCTCCTGCTCCTCCTGCTCCTCCTCCTCATCCACCTACCTTCCTCCCTTCCTCCTCTCTTCCTCCCTTCCTTGCTTCTTCTCCCTCCCTCCCTCCCTCCCTTCCTTTCCGTCTATTCTCCTCCTCTTCCTCCCCCTTCCCCTCGCCCTCTCAGGAGCCGGTCGCCGCGGCCGTGCTCGAAGCGCTGCTGGCTGCCGCGGTGCTTGACGCGGCCGGCGCCACTGGCGAGGCTCGCCGCCAGAAGTCCGAAGTGAATCGCGCGCGAGCGCCAGCCTTCCTCCCCACTACTTCCTGTTACGGTGGGGGCGTTGGCTAAGGAATCTACCCAGGAGGCGTCAGACCCTGGAGGATTCCTTATCGGATGAGGGCGGCGGTGACATCCATAGCCAATCCACGATTCTTCCAGACCCTGGCTTCCTTATCCAATGGTTCCTTATCAAATGCTCTCACCGTACTCCCTCCAAGATGAAAGCAGACAATCTCAAGGCAGCGCAGCAGAAGTCAGAGCACTCGTTGTTTTACCCGCGCACGGGGACTCGCTCCGATAATCAGGTGCGCCGACACAGCAACGAGTGCTCTGACGTCTGCTGCGTTGCCTTGAGATTGTCTACTTTCAGGAGGGGAAAAAACACACAGACACAATTAATCGGCGATTCCCAGAAAATATGGGAAAATATGGGAAGTGGGGGGGAAGACAGAAACCCAGAAAATATAGGAAAATATTGGGGATATGTTTATTTGTGTGTATTTATTTGTGTGTCCCAGTTCCCCTTCAAACGAGTGCTCTGACGTCTGCTGCGTTGCTTTGAGATTGTCTACTTTCGCCTTGGCTCCTCCCTCCTCCCCAGCAGCGAGTGTGCCGACGCCGCCGCCCCTCCCTGGTCGCCAGGGTCGGATCCGCTTCGAGGTGCTGGTCAGACCCCGTCCCTGGAGAGGTCCAGGGAGCAGCGGCATCTCGTGTTGTCCCCCCCTCTCCTCCCCCCTCCTCCCCCCTCCTCCTCCTCCTCCTCCTCCTCCTCCTCCTCCTCCTCCTCCTCCCCCTCCTCCTCCTCCTCCTCCTCCTCCTCCTCCTCCTCCTCCTCCTCATCTTGCTCTTCCTCCTCCTCCTCCATCCTGCTCCTCACCCTCCTCCTGCTCCACCTCACCACGTGAGAAATGAAACTGCTGGAAAAAAAAAACTCCTCCTGCTCCTCCCTCCTTCTCCTCCCTCCTCCCTCTTCCTCCCTCCTCCTCCCTCGTCGTCGTCGTCGTCCTCCTCCTCCTCCTTTCCTCCTCTTCTGCCCCGCAGTGGTTCGAAAGAGTCTTCCACAATAGCCACGCCCCCTGTTTTCGACTTTCCCCTTCTGGCCTCTCTTGTGGCTGTGTTGCTCCCTCTCCTCCTAATCCTCCTGCTCCTCCTCCTCTTCCTCCTCCACCTCCTCCGCCTCCGCCTCCTCCTCCTCCTCCTCCTCCTCCTCCTCCTCCTCCTCCTCCATCCCTCCTCCTCTTGGTTCCTGGTTCCTGGTGGCGTGAGGAACCGTCGACTGCCGCCCCACCCCCCCAGGGCCGGTCGGCCCTGGGGGTTTGGTCAAACCAAACAGCTTGGTCACAATAGTGACTGGCTGTGGGAGCTATACGATGTAAGTAAGTGCAAGGAAGGCAAGGAGGGAGTCGAGGAGGGAGAGAGGAGGCGGGGAAACTCGGTGCGGCGGCAGTGGCTGCAGCGCGGCAGTGGTTGCACATTCATGTAGTGGGGGAGGAGAGGGGAGGAGGGATGATGACCTCGAAGAGGAGGGGGGGTGGGGGGAAAGGCTGGCGGCTGCAGCAGGCTGAAAAGGGGTGGGAGGCCCGCGGGCCTCGTGAGGGTCCCCCCTCATTCGGGTCCACTGGCCCTGTTGGACCAGCGCCCTGGAGGGTGCCCAGGGTCCCCCTCCTTTGAGGTGCCCTGCTTTTCCAGGCTGTGTGCTGAAGGTGGGGCGTAGATGTGGCAGGCGCTCTACCCAAGCAAGCCCTGCTTGCATGGAAACGGTGGGCGGGCACTCAATGTGACGGCTGCTGCGCTAATAGGGCTGAGCGAAACGTGGCCGCCGAAGCCGGTGACGTCTGATGGCGGGGAGGGAGGCATGAGGTAAGTTGAAGATACATGCCTGCGGGCGGTGAACATGGTTGCTGCCCGCGGCGGCCTTGGCCACCGCCATGGCTGCCGAGGCCGGCGGCGTCCGGTGCAGGGGAGGGAAGGGGGAAGTAGCCGGGGCAGCAGTGGGAGAGGTGCCCCAAGAGGCAGGCTGGAGGCGCAACGCGCCAGGCGGCGGCGTGCAAGGCGTGCACAGCCGGAAGCGCAAGAGGCGGCGGCCTCCCTGCACGCCCTTGGCCCGGGGGGAGGCGCAGGGGCCCCTCCGTCTGCTCACACGGACGCCCCCCGCGGGCGCCCCCGAGGACAGCGGCGGGATCCCTCGTCCGCAGGCAGGCACGGGGCTCTCGGCGCGCACGCCTCGGGGCCGGCCGGGTGGGGTTCCTCCGAGCGGGGTGGAGGTCTGCGCCTGGCTGCCCGTGGCCCGGGCGCCACGCTCGCCTGCAGCTCGTGCGCCCTACCTGCCCAGTGTGCACTCAAGGGTGGGGCGGCCGGCCAGGGCGTGCCGGCCCCTCCTCCTCCTCCTCCTCCTCCTCCTCCTCCTCCTCTCCTCCTCCTCCTCCTCCTCCTCCTCCTCCTCCTCCTCCTCCTCCCCCCTCCTCCCTCCTCCCTCCTCCTCCCTCCTCCTCCCTCCTCCTCCTCCTCCTCCTCCTCCTCCTCCTCCTCCTCCTCCTCCTCCTCCTCCTCCTCCTCCTCCTCCAGAAGTGGGCGCGCCCGACCTTCGGGTTCTGCGCGGGGCTCTGGGGCCAGGCCCGGGGACTCCAACGTCGGCTGGCCACCCTCGCCAGGGTCCCCTGTACCCCATCCCCTGGCTGATGGTGTGGGCAGGCGCCCGGGGGACGCCGCTGCACGGCACTGGGCGCCGCGAGTCATATCAGGAGGGGAGAAAACACACACAGACACAAGGAATCGTCGATCCCCAGGAAGATAGGGGGAACTATGGGACGTGGGGGGGGAGACGAAAACCCAGAAGATATATAAGAAAATGTGGGGAATCTGGTCAGTTGTGTTTCTTCCTTTGCGTGTCCCAGTTCCCCTTCAGCATAGTGGTGGGTGAGATGGCGGACGAAAGGCACGCAGGCGCGGCGCGTGGCCTGGACGCCCGGCGGGGGATATCGCCTGGCGCGCTGCCGTGCGGCCACGGCCGCCCTCGGCCTTCGCGCGGGGGGTCGGCCCGCGGCGTGCCCCCTCGCTCTTCCCCCCCCGCGCAGTCAGCCCGCACAGTAAGGATGGGCAACCTTCCTGAGGGTACCCCAGATTTCGTAATAAAGGGAGGGGGGTCTCATTTCGGGGGGGGGGGTCTCTTCCAGGCTATCTTGGAGGGCCTGGGGGGGGTCTGGGGACGATGTTTTGGAGGGTTCTCCCACGGGGGGGGGGGTCTGAAATGGCTCGTCTGGGAGGGTTGGGACCCCCTCCCTTTTATTACGAAATCTGGGGTACCCTTGCATCCTTGCCTCCTCGGTCCATCCTGCGCCGCTTTCGCTGGCCGCGCCCCGCTCGAAGGGCTTGGAAATGGGCGTCGAGGGCCCTTGCGTCCCTATCGCGCATCCTTGCTATACCGGTTGACTGTAATCTCGAGCCCCTTCCCGCCACCACGTGAGGAGGGACGGTGGGAGGTTAGCGTTAAAAGTCGGGCGTGTCCTTCTACATGATGAATATCCAAAATTAGTCAAATGGAGACGATTTTTCTACTACTCTTGAATATTTTTGACACTTTTGAATTTCTTATCCAAAATCCGCCTGTAGGGGGAAGCGCCCGACCTAAGGTTAGCGAGTGGAAGCGAGAGGAGGGGGGAAGCGAGAAGGCGTGCCAGGAGGGAGTGTAGGTTGGAGGTTGGTGAAGCCCCCGTGTTCGTCAAATGTCTTCGATTTGTAGGCGAGAATGCCCCACAGGGACCCACTGCTGTCACTTGTGGATGAGAGAGCACCGCAAGGACCCACGCACGTCGGATGATGCAGTTTGTGGGTGAAACTGCCCCGAGGGTACCCACGGCGTAGTATAGCCAATGTGCGTGTGCTCGCCGTGTGCTGTGACATCTGGGCGTCCGCATCTCGCTGCCGTCAGAGATTGGGTATGGAGTGTGATATCCAGCTGTGCTGCTGCCGATCGTGTTGGTGAGTGCGGAGCGTTTGGTAAGGGAGCAGTGCCGAGATGTGGTATGGGGAGGTAGCACCTGGTGCGTTATCTCCTGTCTGTCATGGAGCATGGGTGGACAACATTGTGCACGATCATGGCGCACTGACGGGCCGCCGTACGGCTGGTCCCGTCAAGAGGCGTGAGCCTCGCAGGTTCTGGGCTCAGGGGGGAGTCTCTGGTCTGCCGTAGTGATGTCGTGTTGGTGCTCCTTCTGGTTTTGCTGGTAAGCGGTGTGAGATGGTGGCCACGGCTTCCTTCCATCGTCAGCTGTGGTCGCAGCGGCCTGGTTGTGGCTGTGGACCTGCTTCTCGTCATGGCCTTCACCCTGCGGGCTCGTGGTCAGCGCCTTCAGCTGTGCAGTGTAGTCAGGTGGGGCGTTTCGAAAAAAAGGCCTCGCCTGCGAACATAGAAGGATTGCCATCGCTTCCTCGGCGGAAGGCCGGCGGAAGGAACACGAGGCCGCCTCTGCCGGCAGAAGCCAGCGGAAGGGCGGCGGAAGGTCGCGGAAGTAACACAGGTGCCCCCAAGAGATGAAAACGTTTTTGGGTCCAGGGTTTCCGAAATCGCCCAGGTAGGCCGATGTCGACGGGGGGCGTGTCCGTGTCCTGGTCGGCGATCCTCGTGATGTTCTCCGTAGGCGTCGGCTGGTGGCTGCTGGCCGCTGATTGGAACTGCGCCTTCGGGTCAGGGTCGTGGTGTTGGAGCAGGTCGATTTCCAATACGTTAGCGCACTGCCCTTGTTGAGCTGTGTGCTGTTGGTTTCATGGTGCGTGCTCTGCGAGGGCTGCGTCCCACTGGTTGACCCTGTTTGGGGGTACTGTTGAAGTTCAGCTCATGGCCCTGCAACGGATGCATCTGCGTGGGCATTTCACGATGATTTGGATCAGACTGACGATCATCTCGCGGGCTGGTGCTTCAGTCTGTTGTGGGCTTCTCAAGGTCATGGCTCGCTTGTGTGGCTGCCCTGTTGGTGGTTGTGCGTCGTGTTGCTCGCTCGCGGCGTCGTTGGGCTGCAGGTCTTGGGAGCTGATCAGCTCGGCTATATTTTTCAATGCTGCTGTGGCAGTCTTGCTCTGGAACCGCGTGAAGGGGAATGGCGTCGGTATGCATGTGGGGTTAGAACGTATTCCCAACTTGATGGACATGAGCATGCTGTGCCGCTGCGCAACCACGGCTGGTGATGCAGGTAGGTCGTCGCACTCGTCGTCGATATGACAGGTCAGCATCATTGCCAGCTGGTGATTGACGTAGTGGGCGAGCAGTGTCTGTCGCTGGGTCATGTTGAATGGGCGCGCTTCTCGTAGACCTTACCAAAAGCCATGGTTGAGCGATGCTCGACGTAGCTCATGACCTGGTCGTACTCGAGGCGGATGTCGGTGTCCATACCAAGGTCCAGATCGTAGCGGTCGCCAGCGTTGCTCAGATACGTGAAACAGTATGAGATCATCTTGCGGGCCTGGATCTTAAAGGTAGCAGAATCGCGGTCATGGTGTCTGCTGCTGATGTTGTTGGTTAGGCGCTTGACCATGTCCTGATGGCGTTCACTTCGGTCGGTTCCACATGTCATGGCTGGTGGCGGTTGTCCAGTGGGAAGGCTTGCCATCTCGAACACCGTGTCCAGGTGTTTGTTGTTGGCCTTGGCTTTGACCACTGGCGCCTTGCGATCCTCCTCCTCCTCCTCCTCCTCCTCCTCCTCCTCCTCCTCCTCCTCCTCCTCCTCCTACGGCTCTCCCATCCTGTCCTATTGCCTTAGACTGCCTCCACTCTGCTTTTCAAGCTCTGCGCGCTCGCCCTGTCCCATCTGCTGCTCTCTCTCTCTCTCTCTCTCGCCAGACGGCCAAGGCACGTCTCAAAGTCATCTTTCGGAGGTCCCCCCAATTGCAGGGGCTGCCCCGCTAGTCGTCGAGGAGCCAGGACGCGGCCCCCAACGGGTGGGACTCCTCCTCCTCCTCCTCCTCCTCCGCCTCCTCCTCCTCCTCTGTCTCTCCCTCCCCGCTCCTCCGTTCCTCTTCTCTCCGCGCGCGCAGCCTGAGCGCGCAGGCGCGAGCCTGCTGTGGAAGGGGGAGGAACGACTTCGGACCGCACTGTCCTCCTCCTCCTCCTCCTCCTCCTCCTCCTCCTTGTCCTCCTCCTCCGCCTCCTCCTTGTCCTCCTCCTCCTCCTCCTCCTCCTCCTCCTCCTCCTCCTCCTCCTCCTTGTCCTCCCTCCATCTCCTCTTCTTCCACCTCCTCCTGGGCTTCGTCGGAAGCCCTACGGGGCTCCAACGTGATCCCAGGGGTTCTGGGAAGAACTCCAAGTATTCCCCCTAAGAGTTTTGAGGAAGTGTTGTGGGATGGAGTCTTGAGGCTGTCCACGGGGTCTTGAGGAAGGTTCGTAACAACTCTGCAGATTTCGTCGGAATCTCACACGGCTCGTTCTGCATCGCCCGGGGGGGTTAAGCCGAGGACCCAGAGCATTCCTCCGCCGTGCTTCGGACTGCGCACGGGGATCCTGGCGATTCCCCGGCAGAGCCCGTGGGATTTCGCCGCGCGCACGCCGCGGCGGCCTCCGCCCTCCGCTGCCTCGAGGCGCCACGCCTCGCGAGAGGCGCGGCCCCCGCCGCTGCGGCGCAGACCCCCCCCCCCGCGAGAGGCGCCCGCGCGCCCTGCGCTCGCGCGCGCCGGGCCGCCCCGCGAGGCGCCGCGCCCCCGTCGCGGACCCGGGCCTCCCACTGGCCGCGGAGCCCGGCGCCGCCGCTGCGGCGCGGCGGCGCCGCTGCCGCGCGAGACCTACAGTCGGGGCGCTGAAGAAGGAACCCTTTTCGTTGAGGAGGGGCTCGGTGTTCCTTGATTGTTTCGCAGCTGGCCTCAGGTTTTCCTTATGTTTTCGACGGGAACTCGAAGTTTAACCCATGGAACAAAGGGGCCTCGTTCCTTATTAAGGGTTCCTTAGGTCAACGCCCCGACTGTACTTTCGCAGGCCTAGAGGTTGACACCAAAAGACCAAGATCGGCGGTGTGCCTCCACCGAGGGGAGGCGATCCCGATCTCGGTGGTGGTGGTGATGTTTTGGCTTCCAAGGGGCCTTCCACCGGCCGCGGAGCCCGGCGCCGCCGCTGCGGCGCGGCGGCGCCGCTCCCGCGCGAGGCTTACTTTCGCAGGCTTACAGTGGGGGCGCGCATCAAGAAACCATATGCTTTTCGTCTGGGCATCCTGGGTTTCTTCGCTCCTCGCGCTGCGCGGTGGCTTCCCGCAGCCGTCGAAGGAGCTGCTGCGTTCAGGGTGCTCCAGGTTGCCCCTCGGGTGCACTTCGCGCGCGGGTTCTCAGGGTTGGGTTTCTTGCGAGGGTTTTTTGCGGCCGCGCCCGCACTGTAGAGGTTGACACCAAGACCAAGATCGGCGGTGTGCCTCCACCAAGGGAAGACGATCCCGATCTCGGTGATGGTGGTGATACTCTGGCTTCCGAGGTGACCGAAATATTACCACCAGCCCCGCATTCTTGGATCATCTCCCCCCCTGCGGAGGCAGCCCCCGGAACTGGTGGTGGTGCCCATTTCCAGGCCTCCAATGCTCGCCGAAGCCGATCCTCGTGCATGCACCGCCTGCCCAGAAGCTGCGCGTCCCAGGCCGCCGCTCCCTGGTGCGACGGCCCCCCTGGCGTGTCCAGAGCCCGCGCGCGCAGCGCCTCCCCTCGCGCAGCGAGGCGCCCCCCCCTGTCGCGGAGCCGCTCTGCCCACCCTGACTCCGGATCCGCCCTGCTTTGGGGATATTCGTATGTAGGGCTTAGAATTCCCGCCGTACTTTTCAAGCCCCGCTGATGCCGATTTCCGCTCTGCTTTTCTGTTGTTGTTTTCCGCCCTGCTTCTGTGTAGTTTCGCCTATCTTATGCTGGGTGCAGAAATTGCTGCCCTACTTTTTCGGCTTCTCATAGGTGGATTCCCGACGCAATTTTAAGTTGGAAAAAAAAAAAGCCAAAGTACTCTGTGTCCCTCAATAGTTCTGGGGATACCTGTAGTCGGGGGGGGGTACCTATAGTCCGGGGGGGGGGTACTTGTAGTCCGGGGGGGGGGGGGGTACCTGTAGTCCGGGGGGGGTAACATGTAGTCCGGGGGAGGGGTACTTGTAGTCCGGGGGGTACCTGTAGTCCGGGGCCCCAAAACTATTGAGGGACACAGAGTAGGGCGGAGCTGGAGTCAGGGCGCCGGTCGCGGAGCCGGGCCCGCGCCGGTGGGCAACATTTCTTCTCGGTCGCGCAGCGCGGCGCGAAGCCCCGGGTCGCGGAGCGAAGCCCCCGCGGGTGCGGCGCACGGCGCCCGCCGCGCGCCGACCTCGAGGGCCTGGCGCGGGGGGGGGGAGGCAAGAGGAGGAGGAGGAGGAGGAAAAGAAGGAGCAGCAGGAGGAGGAGGAGGAGGGAGGAGCAGGCGGAGGAGGAGGAGGAGCAGCAGCAGGAGGAGGAGGAGCAGGAGAAGGAGGAGGAGCAGGAAGAGGAGCAGAAGGCGGCGGCGGAGCACGAGGAGGAGGAGGGCGGAGGGCGCAGGGGCGCGGGGTGGAAACAAATTCCCCCTGGGGCGCAGCCCTGCACGAAACTCAGCGCAGGCTTTCCCCGCGCCGCGTCGGCGCCCCCAGGCCACCAGATGTCAACGTTGATGCCCGAGCGCGTGACTCAAAGCTTTCCGTCGGCGTCCGCGGACCGC